TGGTTGTTGTGGGGGGGGGGGGGGGGGGGGGGGGGGGAGTTTGGGATTTATGAGATATTTTATATGATCATAGATAAAAAAAATTTGTATAGTGAAATATCTATATCTTTGACAGTTCATTAGTTTTCTTTAATTTAAAATTTTCACGTAAATCTTCGTGTTAATTTGTTCCATATATTTATATGTTATAGCTTCTAATAAATTAAGAGTGATGCTGTTCATAGTACGGAACAACTTGTTAGAATTTAACTAAAAGGAAGTGAACCATCCAATAATATGTGTACATTGAATTCTTAAAAATTTAACTTTAATACAAAGATTATTAGGCTTTAATAGCAATCGACTTTGAAATAATTAAGAGCCTAGTTGATGTAATTTTTTTAAGAATAGAGTTCGTGAAAAATATTTTTTTTGCTGTTGAAAAATGTATGGTTAAAGTAGGAAAATTTATGGACATGCATGTAAAATTATTTTATTAAGAGAACATGTAATTGAAAATTAATTTGAAAAAAATAAATTTTAAATAATTAATACCAAACATGGCTAAATAGTCGAGACACCTTAAAATACAGTTGGATATCAGTGTCCCCTTGACTTCGACTAATAAAGTGAATTGTTTTGTATCGCTTTTCTTCCTCACTTCGGATACTGAAATTGCTTTAATGAACTTACTGGTTGAATTCTATAGGTTCAAGGAATCCGATGTGAGTTGCTAATAAACTCTTAACAAATATTTTTACAAACTCATGAATGGACTTGAACTATATATATAATTGTTCCAATGATATTTCTGAAATATGTTCATCTATATTTATACCATTTTGCAATAATAATAATAATAATAATAATAATAATAATAATAATAATAATAACAGTACACCTATCGTGTTAAGCGTAACGCGAACCATGACATGCCAATAATTTTTATTGTGTATCAATATTTCTTTGTTCCAAGCAGAAGATAGTTCGACATGAGGTATTCAAAAATTTGACAATGTCTAGCTCGTTGATATGTATCGGATATATTTTTCTTTAGAAAAAATGATGAATGGACAAACTTATCCCACCTTGAAGTTGCTTGCATCAAGGGGTATTTGAGGTCATTCCTAGATCGACCGACCGACCGACAGGCAAAGGAGTGGTCCCATCTAGTCATTCACAAGCCATCCATGAAAATGAAAAACATTCTAAATCTACACCACATAATCACTTGTAACCCTTGCAATCACCAACTCGTAGACACTATGCTTTGATAATGCATTAAATACACTTCGAGATATTTAGTATGACAAATTGAATAACATAATAAAGAATTCAAAAAATGGTTGTTAAAATTTTATCCGTGATTCTATTTTAAAGTATTCTTCGATGGCTTATGATGTCATTCAAAACCTTACGAACCCAGTTTCTTCAAATTTAAAACTATTTAGAATAATACTTCTCGAATAGGGGATTTTGACAAGGGTGAAGGTGACAGGATGAGGTGGTAGTTAGGGATGGTAAATTGGCTCACTCATGGTTCGGCTTAGAAAAAGCTCCAGCTAGCCTGACTCGAGGCTCGGACCGAGCCCAAGCCGACCCGTGTGGCTTGCAGGTTGGCGAAAAAAAAAAGTAGCCTGCTACCTTCGTTTTAAAGACAGCAGCCAACCGCCTTTATGGGGGGAAAAAAAAAAAATAAACCAAGCCGAAAGCTCGGGTCAAGCCTCATTTTTTTGGCCGAGCTTTTGTTTGGCTCGGTTCGAGCCAAAAAAAGCTCGAGTTGAGCCTGAGCCTTAAGTTTCGGCTTGCGAACCTGTTCAGCTCGTTGACATCCCTAGTGATAACACCTCATTTTGTGTGTTTCTTTCATTTTTTTTTTTTTTTAATTATCAAATCATGTATTGACTCATGTTTTCCCTACTTTTGAATTGGTCATTGAGTGTTTCGCTGTAATAAATCTGACATCTCTGAAACTTACCAACCTTGTTCTCTCAAATTTAATTCTATTATACAAATAATCTGACATTTCTACCTGTAATCAAGAGAATGTAGGGCTGATGAGGTTGATGAAATCTTAATCCTTAAAATTAATGATGGCCCTCAACAAAAAAAGCTATCTTTTGAGAATGCACCACTTACAACACTGGTATATTCAAATTGCAACCAGTATATACTTTAATAGGATAGGAATCCCAATATTTGACACAAGGAAAATTTAGTTCCTTAACCTCTCCAACAAAGCAAAAACATCCCCACATTTCATTTTCCGGTAGAAGCGGAACGCAAGTCTGCAAAGAAGCAATCTCCTCATGCCAATTGACGGTCTTTTGGACGTGGTTCATCTAGAAGATCCAGGCTGCCAAAAATGATGTTATGATGCGATTGCTCTATTCGGACAGATGAAGACCCAAATGCACCTATTGTCGAAGGGGGACCCTAATTTAAAAACAAAAAATACAATATTGTATTTATTTAGACGTAACGTTGAGATATTGCAAAGGCGTCCCCACATTAAGCGCATGCAAATAAATCTAGTTTCTCCAAAATAATCATTCGAAGGAATGAGTAAAGTGGCACGCTGAGGTAAAAGGCTGGCCTGCCATATGCCTTATATATATTTCCCCTTGACTTACAAACAAGAAAAGAACATTATTTTTGGGTCGCCTGCCTGCCTGCACTACTCACTTCTCTTCTATTTTAATCTTATTTCTCTTCACTGTTTGCATCATTATATTCCACTTGTCTCTCTCTCTCTCTCTGTAAAACCAGTTTTCTTCGTCAACTATAAAACCCAACTCTTTCTTTCTCGAGTATATGCACAGAATTTAGTTTCTACTATTGAAAATGGAGAGAAAATGTAATGAGAATGAAATGAAAGGAGAGGGTGAAGGAGAAGAAGAAGAAGAAGAAGCATTGTCATTGTGTGATCTTCCAATCAATGAAGAGAATCAATCAAAAAAAGAAGAGGTTCCAATTCCAAGAACCAATGAAATACAAGAAGACTTTGATTTTTGCTCTTTTTCGAAAGAATCTGAAATGTGCGCAGCTGATGAAGTTTTCTATCAAGGCCAAATTCTTCCACTGCGTAATTCAATTAGCTCAGAGAAAGGCTTAAATGGATATCGAAGCGATAGCCGGAGCATTTCGAGGTGTGCATCAATGGATCATTGTTATTCAGTTGGGTTCACGAGTGTCAGCAGTAGAAGTAGCAGCATCAGAAGCCACCAATCTTCAAGCAGTGGCAGTTCTAGCAGCATTAAATCAATTAACATCCCTAGAGTTCTAAATCAATTCCATTCCCACCCAAGTCCAACACCGCAGCTTCGTTTATCAAGCATTAAGCAAGGAAATCTTCGTAATTCCAACAGGAAATCGTCACTTTGGAGCATTTTCCATGTGGGATTAGTCACCCCACCAGAAATCGCATTGGAAGATCTCAAAATGCGACGCGAGAATAACAACAATAACAAGAACTTCGGCAGTCGAAACAGCACTAGTAGCAACAGTAGTGACTTTAGCAACGTTAGTAACAACAAAAAGAAGTCCAGATTCTTTGACAGAAATGGTGTTCTATTTGGTGGCTGCAAATGTTCAGCAAATGCAATAGAAACAGTTTCTCCTAGGGTCGTGTTCATCAAGAGAAGTGCCAGTGAAAACGAAGCACACGAACTTCAACTCCAAGAGAATAACGTTCGAACGATGAATTCGACGAAGAATCAGCATCATCAGCAGCGGACAAGAAAACAAGCATTGTCACGTCATCGAACGTTTGAATGGTTAAAGCAGCTTTCTCTTGAAAGTACGACAGATGAAGCGTTGCTTCCAATGTAGTCTTACACATGCTTGCCCTTTTTTGTTCTGCAATTGTTACTTTTTTTTATGCTTATGTTAATTAACTACTTTCGGTAATGTAGTAAAGACTCTCTGTAATCTAGATGATAAATTATTAACTATATGATGAATTTAAGAGTGATTTAAATGAGTGGACATGGATAGGTATGATAGGTGGAGTAGTGTCTTTCATGATTAAAGTGTGATGTTGTCACCTTTAATTGTATGGTGTGAAAATGGCATTTCATTACTGTCGAGAAGCACGAGAAAGAGAGAGAGAATTAGAAAAAGGTTGATGAACATATTGATTGCAGGTAGTTTACAGTAAAAGTTAATAGTGCACATCAATTGATATTCAACTACTGTAATACCTTCTGATTACAATCAGAAAAATTGTCTTCTGTGGTCCAATTTTTTTAATACTTATCTTTTTATCTTTATTGATGATTTAGAAGGTTGTCTGGTTCTTTAATTGATTTGTTAAAGGTAAACATGGCCCAAAAGCATTGTCCATTCCAGAAAAATCGAGCAAAGATTCTACCAAATTAATGTCTATCCTTGTGTATGTGAAATCAAATTTTCTTGTCAACTGTACAGAAAAAGTAAAAATGCGGATATGACAATGAGTTTGTTCTTGGAAGGAAGCTCGGAGTGAAAAGGACATCAGAATTCACAATGTTAAAACAGGAATCATAGTAGTTAACAGTACAAGAAAACTGATACAAAGTCTGCTCATTTAATCTATATGGTATCCTATGCAATTCAAAAAGGTTGAACTCCAACCTTAAGGATTTCCCATCGCCCCGCCCTTGGAGCATCGTGAGAGAGGTTAATCGAGGAATGTGTCCCAGCAGGCCTGGGAGCAAGAGCTGCCTATACACTGAGATCCACAAAGAGTCTCAATTCATGTTTCAGGAATCGAACCCTCACACTGCGACGGTCAGCAAGACTGAGTATACCTCACCCTTATCCTTTACACCACTGAGATATGCCCTCCGAGGCATATCCTATGCAATTCAAATAGTATATATTATTGTTTCTCCTTAAGTTCAAAACCTTAAAATACTTAATTAACGCATAGTCTTAGTCTTGATCATCATAATCAAGTCTAAATCATCAAACATTAGTGACTGGCGACTTCTTTCTCTGAAAACTTGTACAAGCCTTAACGTGAATTGGTTAGTTACCAGTATCTTTACAAGCTACAAACTAAATCATTTATTTACTCTTGTGTACATGATACACAGATAACTTAAAAGAGTATGGAAATACTGGAAACTTTGTTGAATTAAAAGTTTGAAACTAAAAGAAGATGAAGATTTACAGAGACAATAAACCAAGGTTTATTTGACCTAAAAGTAATTTTTGAAGAAAATAATACATAATTTTGGAATGATGAATAATCAAAACATATTCTTAATTACTCTACTTGTTCCTCAGTTAAGCTCATCATTATTTCCTAGTATGGATGTAGAGTGTTAGTACAAGTTGAAAGTTTTTAATCCTAATATAGTGGGCACCTTCGTCTATGAAATGATATGAAAAATTGTAGAGAAATTTCTAATTTACAGTCTAGAACTAGTTTTAAGAGATTGGGAAGTTTTGGACCAACATTCATTATTCATTTCCTAGACTAATGTACAAATATTGAAAACTATGCTTGTAGATGGGATTTGATCAATTTCATATTATTTGGGATAAATAAAGATAAGTAGAGAATTTTTGGAAGATAAATGAGAAAGTAAGGCACTTTTGCAAATTTTGAGAAAGTTTTTGGATTGGGTTGTACTTTTTGAAAAGTTGGAAAATGATAATTCATAGACTGTTGTTTGGAATTTACTAATGATCTTCGAGCACGAAGAATCTGATTTTTGACTTACTTTAATTTCTGAATAATACTACTTATTTCCATTAAAGATATCACCACCAAATGTAAAATGTGATGAGATACCAAATGATAAGACCAATCAAATGTATGACATGATTCTCACCTATTGGTCTCACCATTTCATATCACGTCGTATGATGATCATCTCAAATCAAAGTAAATTGTATTACTTTTGGCTTTATTATTATTATTATTATTATTTTTTTTTTTTATGTGAAAAGATACAATTAGAATTTCGTAAAACTCAGCTGAGCTTGAACCATTTAGACTTGGGTTCGACCTACATAAAAAGTATGGCCAATATAATAGAAAACCAAAGAATTTTTTTTTTCATAGAGTTGAATAATGAAATAGAAAAAGGAAAGACAAACTTTGATCCTCGTGATGTTTTAGAGGAGCAATTGGTATTTAAGTTGATTATGGCAGTCAGAAAGTTAAGATCATATTTTCAATCTCATACGATGCAAGTCGTGATTGATCAGCCCATCAAGAAAATTTTGCACGGACCAAAATTTTCAAAAAACTGTTAAAATAGGTAATCGAGTTGAGCGAGTCTGATATTGAATTTAAGCTAAGGATGGCTGCAAAGGCACAACTCTAGTCGATTTTATTGCCAAATTTACAACCTTGCCTAATCAGCCCACAGGACAGGAGGAAGGTTGAAAGATTTTTGTAGATAGGTCATCGCATGGTGAAGGATTTGGAGTAAGCATTATTATAATAGGATCATAATCTGAAAAGTTGGAGTATTCATTGCGTTTCGAATATTTAGTCACAAATAATGATGCTGAATATGAGATAGTGATCATGGGCCTAACTGAGGGTAACATCAATCAAAATTTACGACGACTTTCAGTTGATAGTTGAGCATGTAACTGTAGGGATGACAACATGACATGTATGGGATAGGTCGTCCATTTTCGTTCTATGTTCCATTGGGTATTTTTGTTACTTTGTCCCATCCCCATACCTAGTTAAAGTGGGATGAGGAGAGTTCGGGATGGAATTGGGTTAGGGTGGGCAGGGCGAGGCTCCTGTCCCATTTATCGTCCACGTTTATTTTTATTTTTATTTTTATTTTTTTGTTTTTTGCTTTTATTTTTTTATATCTTTAATTAGTAAATATTATTACTTTTTTTCCGATTTGTCAAGAACAACTTATGTTCTTTTCAAAATTGATGATAAAATTTTTTTTTTTCTATAAAAAATTTAAATTTTAAATTAACTTTAAATAGCACAGGTAGTGGGGGGAAGACCATGTTTTCCATACTCGCCCCATACCTGTTTCAAGAAAATGACCCACGTCTTATTTACCATATTTGGTCGGTAATTCTCGTCTCATTCAAGATGGAGCTTGCGAGTTTTGGGTTGAGCACGTTTTTTTACTATCCTTGTGACGAAGTAAATAATGAGAAACTGGATCACTTCCGGTGTGAGGTCCCTTCACCCTTTCTTCGTGGTGCATTTGGATATTCAAACGTCTTAACTCGTTTAACCGTTTCTTCTTTCTCTCTACGCTATGTCAAAAATCTGTCATAGCCTAGATAGATGCTTCAGCTGCCATCCGCTCCTTGGTCAGGGCGATAGAGGCCACCATTTTTTTAGCCCCCTATGCGTTCATGTTTTTAGCAAGCTCTGAAGAGGCCTTGCATGTCTCTATGGCGTCATCCTGTGCATGGGCTAATGAGGAGTTCTGACTATCATTCTCCCTTTCCTGCTTGCCAACTCGGGACTCCAACTCCTTAATGCGAGCTTCTGAAGCATCAAGATATTTCTTCAAGGTTGAAATTTTCTTCTTGAAGTTGCTCGCTTCCTTACTTTTATCTTCGTTAAAAGTATTTAATTTTGTAACTAGAAGGTGACTCTCTCTAACAAGTGAATCTTGCATTGTCAAAACCTTGTAAGCAAAAAGTAAAGTAAAATAAAATCATTAGACAAACTCGAAGGTTTAAACATAATAGTATAAACATAATAAAATTACTCTCGGGCTCGAGCTCAGGTAATGAGCTCAACACTTCCGCCAAGTCAAAATCTTTACCTATATACATACAACAAAATTTATTAGACATGATACGTGCAAGTTCAAAAGTAACGGTAATAGAAGAAAGCTGACTGATGGGTCGATGGATCCCCAACATCAATATGTTCTTCACAATTAATGTTTTAGATAAGACGGGTACGAAAGGCGATAGTTGGGTCAATTGTCATATTTGGTCTTCTAAAAGGAGAATTTATCTCTATATGATTATTTCTAATGAGTATTAAATGAAAATTGGCCTTTACTAGGTCAAACAAAAAATAATTGAGACTTCCATTAACCATACTTATTAAAAATGGTCGGTCCGGATCAGGAACCGTCGAACCAGATCCTGGTCCAGTCCGAGTGATTCAAATGATCAAGTAAGCATATGAATCGGTCAAAAAACCGATTAAACCACTAACCCACAGTCCGAATCGTACGGTTTTAAATGAAGCTGGATTCAGTTCAATGCGTGAACCGGATGATTACTAAATTGAAGCAAAATTTTATGGTTAAGTTTGCTAGAGCTTTGATTCAAACCCTGGCAACAAAGGAGGTATTTTACCACCATGACCATTATGGCAACTGATTGTTCTTAGCCATTTAATGTGATCAAAATATATATATTAGATTTCGGAAAACGGTTCCTTTTTATTCCAAAAATATAATATAATCAAAATTAAAGTCTAACAATAACCCACCGATTGAACCATTGACTCATAGACCCGATAATTTTTTCGAATCGACCACCAAGTTGGGTCTAATAACTATGCCATTAACTATTGGAATTCCTATACTTAGGAAAACATAGTGGAACCCTAGTGGTGAAGTAGAAAAAGTTGTTGCATAAGAGTAAGATGAAATTTGTTGCAGATTGAGAATAAGAAATGATGGAGAGGAAACTTCAAACCCCCATTCATTCAATCTTTGTTCATAGCAATCTAGCGAGAATTAGACATAGAAATCTCTTCTTTAGACTTAGGGGCTTTATATATGTCAACACAAGTATATCTATTAAGAAATCTACTCAGTTTGGCTGAAGAATTATAAGACCTAGGTCCCTTTAGAATGTCAAGGACCACTACCTTACTCGTCGGATCCAGCTTAATTTCAAAAATTTGAATGGGAGATTTAAAGGAATCAATGTGGGTTTTTTAAGAGAACGTAAATAAAAAAACATTGGAATCGTTGAAATATGTTAGACAGTAACCTCGAGAAGGTTGATTGATTATCCTTGTTG